TACATGATTCAGTTCAGAAAACAGCATCAGGCTTGAGGCAATTGTTCATTTCTTCTGTTTTACAGCATGCTACCGTGGATTTGTTTCAGTTGTTCTGTACAGATGAAGCCATATCAGATGTAACAGAGTAATAGAACTCTCCTAAGCATAGCTCAAAAACTAATCTGAAGTTTTCCAGAAAAAGTGCTTTTAATGGGTCTGTAACTCAAGAAAGACCACACGTTCGCCAAACATTACGCTATCACACAGGACACTACAGCAGACACCATAGTAGGCCACATAGTACTGTCTCAAGTATAAATGACTGATCTGGGGTAAATTATCTGCTCAGTGGGCAGGCCAGTCCCAAGTCACTACCAGCATTTCAGTGAATAGATTTAGAAGCAGAGAAATACCAAACACACTAAATTCCTTTTAAAGCTTCGTATTGATTTATGGGCTACTTGACTCACTGAATGTGCTTATTGTAGGATTCAAGGAGAGATCAGGTGTGATTATAGAAAGCCTTTATATAGAAGGAGCAATACACAGTGTATAACCTGGTGGATTACTGAACTTCAGCGCATCTTGTGGAATGTTTTTCCGTTTACTTAATTACACTTGTCAGAGTCCACATGTCACTGGAGATTGCTAGGAGTTTGTAGAGAAGGGCAGAGGATGGACCTTTTTTTACCCATTTAAGATTAAAGTATATTCTTTTCCACAGGTTGTATTTCTTGAATCAGACCTTGCTACATCAGGTTCTGTTACTGCTCCAAATATCCAGAAGCAGTAAGCATGGACTGAATGACTCATGTAAATGCTTGAGATTGGCCTGAGCAACAGAATTTGGAGCTGGGGTTGGGTCTTTATTTTGAAACACAACCCCTCTAAATTTGAAGGTCTTCAGATCTGGGTTTCCAGTTAAAGCTTTATAGAGCTACCCCTTAATAATTAAATGAGGGTGCCAAGTTCTCAGCAGATGTAAACCTGCAGAACTCCAATTGACTTTGATGGGAGCTGTGCTGATGTACATCACTCACAATCTGGGTTTGGATCTCGAGAACAAACTAAGCTACCCTTAAGTCTGGGGGAGTTTCAAATTTGGGGTTCCAGTTGGGGCCCATCTCTAGTACATTTGTTACACATTTGGTCACAAAGAATCCCTCCTGACCCCATATTAAATAAACTAAGACACATTACAAAATTGGATTTCTCTGGTTTTGGTAATTAATCTGACGAAGAAAAAAAAAAATCTGACATTTTTTTACTGTGTTCTAGTAAGTAAGATGTGTAAGATATACCGTATCTGCTGCCACACACTGGTTGTCACTTAACAGTGGCAGCCATTTAGTTTCTCCATGATACCATTGGTCGTGGCACACCAGTGACTTTGTTTTGGAAGAGCTGCGGGTGAATTGCTGCTAGTGTACATTGCTGCCTCTGTATGTGATAGTGCATATACTGCACCTGATTAAATTAAGTATTAACTAGATCTAAACCTGCTGTTTCACTAGAGGCAAGCGAAAATTAATGAATCAGTTTGTCTAACATAAACTCTTGTCTGCTACCCTATCTGCACAATAAGTCTTGCTTTTCAAAGTTAGGCCTATTGTTCAGGGATACAGGTGATTTTATGGGTCAGATTCTCGTCTGATGTAAATCAATACAGCTCTGCTCAAGTCAGTGGTTCTGGTCCTACATGTTTAGTGGTGGCACAAAACTGAAATTCAGTCAAGACTACTGAGAAGCGTCAGCTAGAAATAGCTGAAGGCAGGGAGGCCAACTTGATGACAAAGAGAGATTTGCTATATTCATTTCAGGAGGGGCAAAAATAATCAATGAATATAGTGAAAATAATTTTGACATGGTGTGTGTGTGTGTGTGTGTGTGTGTGTGTGTGTGTGTGTGTAAATGTATAATTATGCTGACCTGAAGTTTTGACCAAAAACCATGGCCACCAGCTTCAGCAACAACAAACAGATCTTCCACCAAGAGAATTTAATTGAAAGGGCATATTTACTAGGGGAGGGGAGCATAGGCAGCAGAACAGAGCACTGGCTCTGCCCACTCCCCACCACTTCTCATCCACCTGTATGGGAAGGGACATAGCAGTTCTGCTGAAGCTGCTTCACCTTCTGTGATGCTCCCGTCCCCTGAAAGGTGGTGCCGAGAGGGGGCTCTCACCCCACTGCACTGCCATCATGCTGACCAGGCTGCAGTTTCACCTGTTGTGATTCGGTAGCCCTTTATTAGTCTTCATTTCCTCTATTCAGCTGGAAGGTATTGTTAAATAGCGTCAGGAAAAAAATGTACTCTTGGTGCAGTAGTTCTTTAATAGTAATATACTAGCCGTGATTAGTAAAGTATTGGTGAGATTTTTAGGACTGCTGCAGATTTGTGAGGTCATGCATACAAATTAAATCATGGTAAATTGGTCATTTCTGCAAATGCCACATTTTACTTTAATCAAAAAAAAATCGTATCTCACTTTCCATTAAACTAAAGCTGCCTTGCTCAAATAGGCTTTGAAATTTCAAATACATAGTTGAGGATTCTCTGGTAAGTTTCTACATGTGAATGACATGACTGTAATTTGCCAAGCACTAAAATGTCATTCTCAAAAAAAAAAATAGAACATTTTAGTTTCAAGACCACATTAAATTGTCTGTTATGTAGGTATTTGGAATACTCATTTTGAGGAGGATATGCCGCACTTTATAAAAATTTAATATAGGTTAGTGGATCAGTATTTGCAGTTTTTATATTACATGAAATATTTACCAGATATTAACCAAGAAAAGGCCAAATACATCATTTGTTTTTAAAAAAATATTTCTATTAGTGTTTTTTTCCTCTCTTGTTTTGTCCAAAAGGAGCCTTGGTGGACTGACATCCCTGCTCTGACAATGCATGTTTCTTTTTGAGAGTTGGGTAATTATTAGTGAAAATAGGGGAGACAAGGTGGCAGAATTTTAAAGGGAGATTTGGGTTCAAAGGTTGTTTCTGGGATGTATGCAATGAGTTGGTAGTCTCATTCTGGGCTCCAGAGGACATTTGTTTATCCCCTTTGCAAAATCCACTGGAGCAGTTGCACAACAGCTGTTTTTCAATGTAGGTCATATTTACAGTTAACATAGAAAGGGTTGCATTAGAACAGATAGGACAAGTTCACTGTTTTACTTTAAACTAAGATTTGCTGATTGCCAACCTGTGAGCAGGATCTTCTGATGTTAACTGGTACAAATTGGCTTAGAGCTGGTGTTTTCTGAATTGAAACAGAATATGCTTGATTTGCTTTACAAATGACTATGTGCACAGGTTACCTGTTAAGTGATAATTATAACAGATACATTAGTATTTTTAAATGACTGTTTCAGAAATATTTGGGTTTTTTGTTTACATTCTATTTTATTTCTTTCCAACCATAAGTCAAATTCTGCTGTCATTTACATAGGTCTAAATCCAGAGTGATACTTTTGAAGTTGTTGAAATTATTCTGGATTTAGACTAGTATATCTGGTCTGTGTTAAATTACTGCTATGAAACCTGGACATTCAAACAATGAATAAAAAACTATAATGCTTTAAATTATGGTTCGTAGAAGAATTCTGAAAATACCATGGATAGACCAGTGTTATACCAGCAAAAGCCCTAGTGTAGATGCAGCTATATTGGCAAAAAAATCTGATTGCTGGTATACCTTATTTTGTTTGGGTACCTGCTAGAAACTGTGTTGCCAAAAGCACATTTTTGCTGGTAAAAACTGTGTCTATACTGGGAAGTTTTTCTGGTATTGCTATACTAATAGAGCAACCTTTTCTACTGTAGACTATACCTACACTACTATAGCTATTCCTGTAAGGGAAGGAGAATACGTTATACCCATATAAAGCACCAGTTATACTGTGTGCACACTAGGGGCTGTCCCAGTTTAATTATTACAGTAAAAAAAGCATCCTCCTAACCAAAATGACCATACGGGTACACAATCGCTTTGTAAACTAGATCTTAGAAATCCCAAATGGGAATCTTGCTAAGGCCTGACCTTACTTGCATTTAAGTCACTGAGAGTTTTGTCATTTACACTAATAGGCACAGATTGCAATATTTAGCATACAGACAAAAATCTGTCCCACTTCTTTAGATTGTGAGTGAATCTGGTACTTCAAATTTGTCCTTTTTAGAGAAAGGTCTTATCTTCTGCCCTGTTTCTGATACTAAATAATAACATAGTTCACGACAGGGACAGGTTCTAGTTGTTTCCTCTTCACCAATAATTCTTAAAGAGGAGACAAACATAATTTGCTTAAAAATAATGTAGATGAAGCAGGTACTTGATCAATATACATGTTTTGTAACTTTGACAAAACAATAGCTGGGTTTCTGTATTTCCAGACTCTAACGCTAATCCCAGTGCCTCAGCACTGTCAGAAGCACTTAGCTTTCTGATGTCAGATTCTGGCTCCAAGGGGTTTGGAAGGTGTTTTAAGCTAAAACGGCTCTGCGAATATCCCATGTGGTGTGGCAGTGGTTGAGGTGATGACAGTAGGAATGTATGTTCGTGCACAGCAGAGTAAGTGCACCTGGCATCTTAGGTCCTGATTAAGTATGGGCACAGTTTAAGTGCATGTATATAATTATGCTTATCAATTCTCTGGGTTCCTGATTTGGAAATATTCCTTTTGGCTGACTAATTTTTAAAAAAATTCCTCCAAATCAAAAGTAAGCAGCCACGAGCTTTAAGTTATCATAACTAAGGGCCTAACTCTGTATCCCTAACTCGGGCAAAACTCACACTGACTTCATTTAGGGCTAGACAGTGGCGCTGACAGGTACAATACCTTTCCTTTTCCCATTTGCTCTGGGGGATAGTAATTTGCATCTGGGCTAAACCAGCAGCAAATTGCAATTCCTTCCAGGGCAGCTCAGCTGCGTTGGCCAGGAAAAAGAACCCAACATTTAAAAATAAATACTGCGGTTTTTATCTAATGAGTATTCAGTGGGAAAATACAATAAACCCAGGCCAGATACTTACTCTTTTTGGCTTCTTCTAGTTTGTCTTTGGCACGTTTTTCTGCCTGTAAAAGTTGCTGGATTCCCTGGGACTGGCTGGTCATGCTGATGTTTGGGTCTGTTGTGACTTTGTAATAACTGGGAGTGCAAGGGAATTATATATACCATTGCCTACCTCTTCATTTTGCGTTTTGTTGTGTCAATATTCAGTGCAAGACCCATCCAATTTGCACCAGTCCAGCCTGCTTTGGGCAGATTGTTGTTGTGCAAGGACAACAAAGGGTGGAATCTGGAAAACCATGGTGACTGGTTTTAGAGATTCTCTCCTTCTCTAGGTCACACAATACCTAATGAGTTGATTAAAGCATTGTGGAAAATAAGGGAATGATGCTCCAAACATACAGTTTTAAGGGGTTTATTTAAAAATAAACCCTCTGCTGAAGCAGAATTTAGTTGTTAAACTCTTGTAAGTGGGATCAGGAACAAAAAAGATTTTGATTTACTGCAGTTTTCTTTTAATAGCAGTTTCCATGGGCACTATGTCAGAATAATAGGGCCAACAAAGTAGACCTGGGCCAATAAATAGAACTGTGCTTGTGCCTCTTTGTGTTTGCATTCCCTGGAAATGTTAGTTTTACTGGCAGAAAATGAATTTCAAAGTTCCAAGCACAAGAATTTGCAGACATTAAAGTTTAAGCAAGCATGTGTAACCCACTTTCAGTGTATGCCTTGCTGCATCCCCGCTTGTGTCTGACCCATAGAGACTGAGGCTGCTACAGCTACCACTGAGGTGATTCAACCCTGTAGCTTGAGCTAGAGGCTTATGCTCATAACTTTGGTGGTCCTGGGTTTGATTCCAGTTAAGCAAAATGATAGTCATGCCTGTGAGTGCCAATAGTGCATGCATGCTAATCTGCTTAGATCATGTGCCATTGTTTCTGTTCCCCGTTTCACCAGTCACAAGCAAGCCACACAGCTCAAATTTGGAATCTTTACAGTCAAGCACTGTAAAGTATTTGAAAAGATATTTGAATAACCAATCCTTCCATGCTTCCTCCATTCACCTGTGTAAGGGCTAGGGATCATTCGACATTGTGATTCAGTTGGTTTATTGAGCTGAATTAATGTCTCTGGTTCTTTCTGCTGTTGGCTCTTGCTCCAAGGCCCTTTCTTCTCTGGAGCTCCCCAGGGCAGCTGCTCTGTACTGCTTGCATGCTGCAAGGCTGTTATCTGGCCCTTGTGAGAAACTGCCTATTGTTGCTATGAAGCTCTCTTTTCCAAGTGGCTGCATGCTTGAGGGAGAATGGAAAGAGAGAAACCTCTTGTCCTATTTCTCTCTTTCACTGGGCTCCAAATGGCAGGAGCCCGGGGAGAGTGAAAAGGAGGTTGTTTCCTTTTGTTACTGCAATAGTGTAGAGTGGTTCTGCACACTGAATCTTACCCAGGGGAAGTACATATTGCCCATATTGCTTCTCCCTCTCCCAGATACCACATGAGATGACAGCCCATCTCGGGTTGAAATCACAAGCCGGTTATAGCTGTTCAAGACAACACTCATCAGACTATTTGTAGAGGATGCAGCTGCATATTTTTAAAGTTTACTGTATCTTGTTCAGATAAAAAAATAAAGTGATGATCAACTGGACAAAGGGCATACACATTTGAGGTTCACACAGTGTGATGTTCCACTAGTCATGCCCCAAATGTTCTTATTGGAGAGAAAAACAGAAGGTAAAAATGAACAGTGTTAGTCTCCATGGGGAAATGAAATTTGTTTTTAAAATTTGAAATAATTACTTTTTCAATTAAACAAGATGAGGAAGTGTTGTCGAGTTGCTCTCTTAAATCAAAGATTAATCCTGGGCAAATGATTTTGGGTGAGCAAATGTCTGTGCTTGTAAGAAATGTTAAAACGCTGCTACAAGGCTAAATTACCATATGGTGCCCTCGTCTCAAACAAAAATGTCAGTGATCCCCCCCCCCCCAGATTTTAAGTACATTTCTCAGGGTTTTAGCTTATGTTTTCATTGAATTTAAAAATGATCTAACTGCATTAGCTCTTAGTGATGACTGAACATTTCGCAATAAATAATGTATTTGATACATTTCATTGTCCCCATTTGAAAATCCATCCACATACAAATTACAAAATTCTGTCATGTTGTTCATAATTATTTACAGATTTCTTCATTTGATGTGCGAATTTCAAATAGTTCAAGAAATTCAAGTTTTGTCTGACCCATATATTACAATTTATAATTTAAATTGTAATGTATATAACTAACAATTAATACAGTGTGAATTTCTGGATTTACAATTGTAATATATTCACAATTCTTTTGCATAGATCCTCTTCATATTTTGTAAAGTTCTGTGGGAAGACCAATAATGTCTGGCTTTACACTTCGGTTGTGGGTAAAGCCTACTGAACATGTGATTTCCAGAACTGCCTGCAAATTCCAAAGATTTGGATGACAAATTCAGACTATTTCGAGCGGGTGCTTCTGTGCATTCCATTTCACTGAAAATTCATTAAAATAAAGCATATTTTAACAAGAACGACAAAAACTTAATGAGTAGATTCAATGAGAAACTTTTGTGTATAGCAGCTATTCACTCATTTCAACTCAGAGAGGGTTCCAGCCTCTGTCCTGTGAATGGAGCTGAGAAAGAGAAGCTGTTGTCAGGATTAAGATTTGTGGTCAGAGGGAGTTTAGTTTTAAAAAGAGACTCCTCTTTCCATGTAGCTGCCTGAGTCCTTTTCATCCATCTCTCTTGGCCTCCAGGACTTACTGCAGTTGTGCTTGGCTCTCCCTAGTGACAATGAAGGTAACTGGATCCAACTCTAACACTTCCTCACCCTCAAACAGCCATTATGAAGAGTTATGTGAGGGATGAAAGATCCTGCAGTGAATGCACTGCTGCTCATCTTCAGGTTAACCAGCAGCAACAGACACTGAATTAGACATTTCCAGTGTAGACACACGCTATGCTGCTGATGTGTTCAGCAGTATCTGTCTGCACCCAGGAGGTCAGGATGTACGTTACACTACAGATGGCTAACAACTATTTTATTTTCAAAAACAATTGCCTTGGCCTATAACTCATACTGAGCTTTTCAAATGTGAAAACGACAACCTTTCAGTATAGCTGCTCTTTAAACTCACTGAGCAGTAAAGGCAGGGCTGTAGCATCCTTTTATAGTGTTCTGTAACAGGGCAGCTGACCCACAAAATGCCACCAGGCTCAGCACTCCTGTTCCAGTCCAGGTGCTCCTTATTTGGGCCAATTCAGAATGTGGGCTGCACGTGGGGGGGTATGGGAGACATGGTGAGAAAGAGACCCAGAGGGGCAGAGCAGACTGGTTCAATCAGGAAGAGCAGGTGATGAGAGCTCCGAGAGGGACAAAGTAGTTCCTGGGAGAGGGCTGAAGGCAAGAGAGCAGCAAGAGAGGTTTGTTGGCTGACATCTCCAAGCCAGAGAGCCAGGACTGAAGGCAGCAGTGGCAGCGGCAGGAGATACGTTTTGGCTCTAAGCCAGCAAGGCAGAGCCCAGGGCCAGAGAGGGCTGAAGGAAGGGTGAGCAGAGGAGCAGCTTATTCGCTGAGGTCTCCTTACCAGAAAGGTGGGTCACAGAGGAAGCACGAGAGGGCCCGGGGCAGTGACGGATGCTCCCCTGGCAAGGATGCTCTCAGCAGAGAGGCCGTGGGAGTTCCTGCTGGGAAGAGCGGGGTTGTACCCCAGCAGGAAAGGCTGTGGTGGTTGTCCAGCAGGGGACACAGGATGACTGACAGAGCCCAGCTATGGTGAGTACAAAGCTGGGTTTTAAAGACTACACATGCTGGGGGTGAGGGATAGGGACTGTGTTTTGGGGCTTTTGTCCTAGGTTTTTGTTAACCAACTGTGATGAAGTGGAGGATAAACTCATATAGAGTTAGTGGGAACCCAAAAAGGAAACTGAGGCAAGGAGTCACTTGCAGGACTGCCACAAGGGAGAATCTAGGACAAGGCCACTCTTTTATATGGTCCAAGTATGCACAGACTGGTCCACATGCAAGAGGGTGGCAGGCAACACTTCTGCTAATGTGAGTTTGGTCTGATGGTCACCAATGTATTGTCTGTCTGCTGTGGTTGTTTCCCTGAGCACATGCATCTTCAAAAAAAAATCACCTTTTTATATACTTTGAAAAAGCTTCTTTAAAAAAAAAAAACCCAGCTACCATGACTACCAAGTGGCACACTTTGTTCAGGCTCTGCTTCAAAGCACCAGCCTTGATACAATGATGAAGCGCTAAAATCAGCAGCGTGTCAAAGAGGACAGCTGGGATGAATTTGTGTGTGTGCGCGCATGCACTTTTTGTTATGTTGTTTAAAAAGGTCTAAGCAAGGAAAAGTGCCGTGCACACCTGCATGCCTCGTTATACCACAACGAGGCCACCATGAATATTGTTCTAACAAAAAAAGAGCTATTTCAAATGTGTTAAGATCTATCCTATTGAGAAAGGATGCTGCAAATTTCTGCTGCTTCTATCAGCAGTTAATGTCAGAGGGACCTTGTGCATAACTTTAAAACAGGCATTGGCAACCATGATGCTTTTAGCAAAAGCATGAATTTAATTTTCTCTCATAATAAAATGGGTTAACTAACATTAATAGAGGAAAAAGCTGTATGATGTCTGCAAGTTAGAGAGCATTAGTTAAAAACCCTAAAGATGAAATCCTGCCCCTATTGAAGTCAATGAGAGTTTTTCCACTGACATCAGTGGGGCCAGAATTTTATCCTTAGAGTTTACATGTTCAGAAATGAACAGTTGAGAAGATAATACAATTTCTTAAATAGACCCATGTAAAATTCTTACATATACATGTGTAATACATTGCAAATTCCAAAAACACTTCTCTAACTGCCCATTAGTCACGTTTCCACAGTTTTTTACCTTCACAATTTTTCTGGTATAAATTGTACAACTGGATTTATGTATGGAAACTGGGTAGTTTGATGGCTGACTGCATTATTTGCATGTGGAAATGTCGTTTGCCTGCACAAATCTGAGCTTTTATGCCTGTAAGAACTGGATCTGAAAAATTATGCTTGCAGGTTTAGC